ACACATCACTTAGTCGGAGCATGGTTAGCTACCTTACGCGCATAGTAGTATGACAACGATGAAGCTCGGATCAACATCCCCGTCAGATTAGGAGGGGATGCGCACCACTGGTTCAACACTTACGTTTGGGTAGATCTCCCGACGTTCGAGCAGGACTTCCTAAATCGATTCGATTACATTTATCTGGAACAAGCACTCTTTATGATCAAAGATCGAGTTCAGAAACCCCTCGAGTCAGTCACCGAATATCGCAACCGATTCTATAGGATGTTCGTCAAAACTCGGCGGGGGGAAGCAGTTGGAAAGAATCTGTTTATCGATGGGTTTCGCAGCCGAACCATCAGAGCAAAATTGCGAAAGCAATTCTCCCCGATCAACCACACCTTACAGCAGATTATGTCTGCGGCCGAGGAAATGGAGCGAAAATTCGTTGTGGAAGGAGAAGATTATCCTAGAGAGGGAGATTCCTCAGAATTAGCTAGGGCGAGGGCCGAGTTCGCCGCGCTTCAGAACAAGTTTGAAAACATGGGTTTCGTCTCTGGCCCTGTTACCTATCTTGAGAAAATCCCTACCAAAAAGTCCGCTCCCGACACAACTATGGGAGTGTCTGTACCTGTTATGACGACTCCTATGCCTTCCCAATAAATTCCGAACAGGACAAACGAATCAACTGTGGTACTTGAACTAACCTGTACGTTAATTAGTTTGATGCAAGAAAGCAAGAAGGAGCAACGGGAACAAAGCGCTAGGATAGATTCGTTGATGAGAACGATGTGCTCTATCGCTGTTAGGACAACACCCATGATGCAAGCAGCGGCCCCCGCTGCTCAGACTATAGGCGGAGCGACAACTAACCTGAGTGTTTGTTACATGTGCCATCAGCCGGGCCACATAGCCCGAGACTGCCCCCTCCAACCCGCCCAAGCTCGAATCGGAGTATCCCCTGTGGCTGTTGCACCTGTAGCAAATGGTCCATGAAGGGTAGGAACGATGCTTGAGGAAATCGAGAATGAAGGAAGTATGATAGCCATTGCCGAAGAAGCAGCGAAACTTATTCCGCTCGACCAATACGCCGCCTTGGGATATCCGGGATTGGGAATGACTGGAACCATCCGACGAGTAGAGGAGCGGAAGGAAGTAGCCGAATGGAGACCTTCCTCGAGGGGAGATGGAAGCAGATGGTCCTAACTTTGTCACGGGGGAAATCGGCGTCTTGGACATAGCTCGAGCCTTGAACCACCGAATCCCGTTGCCTATAGGGCATTTGCTGTCCATATCCGAGCAGGCTAATGAACGCATGCTGCAGCATTGTAAGGCAAACCGGAAAAGATTTGCTCTCGCTAAGCTAGCTACTCAGAAAAAAACATCTCCGGCTCTCGGGGATAAACCAAACACTCCTGATACGTCAGAACCAATGCGGGTATGAATAATCCAAAAAGACGATCATTTTCTACGGATTAAAACTATTCTGTGGAAATCAGCAGAATGCGACATCGAAGTTTGGGGAATTTCGTATAACGTCATCCTTGATTCAGGAGCGGCGGTCCTGGCTATCTCGCTGAGGGTAGTAGAACGAGACGGGAGATAGAAAGATCTAATTATGTTAGCGGAAGGTGATCACCTCGTCTAAGCTGACGAAGAAAAAATCAAAGCGGTAGGGAGGATGAAGAATGTCGCCTTTCGGTTAGGGAGGGTTCACGCCCTGGGAAATGTAGTAGTGTTGGATGCGAACACCTACGATGTCCTCCTGGGATTGCCAGTCATCACGACACTACGGGCTAACCTGGATTTTGAAAGGCGATCGGTCATTCTTCGAAACACGGGCGGGAAACCGTATGTCATCCCAATGAGATTAACTCTCCGAACCACGCTACCTCCGAAACCCTCGCCTGAGATCAGGGGATCTCTTCGAGTGATCACGTGGAAAGAGCCGAGCCTCGAGAAAGATCCAAAAGAGAAGGAACTCGAGCTGTCCAACAGCTCTTCCGATAGCGAGGATGACACAGATCCCGTAATCCAAGATATGATGCACCAATCGATCCGCTACCCCATCTGACATAAGACGACGAAAATGTTCGTCCTCACGAGAAAGAACCTGCAACGGACTCGAGCCTTAATCCTTGGGGAACCACTGGTACAAGTATTCCGCATGGTTGATTCCTTGGAACCCCCTCGGACCCTATACGAAGCCACCGCTCTTCTTCTCTCGAGATACCGAGAAAAGAAGGCGTTCTGCGACATTACAGGGCTACCTCGTTCCTTGCTGACTCCGGGAAAGGAGGTGTGATTGTTACACCTAGGGGTCGAAAGCGAAGCTTTGGAACCTCCTGAACACGACGATCCTACGATCTACGATCTCGGAATCAAAATCCTTGAAAGGTCGGTGCATTGGCGGGATATTAGCGATGGCGTGACCCCATAGGAGCATGTGGCCATCCGGGAAGAAGACGCGCAAATGATCGCTACCGTATTCTCTTGGCGATTGGATAATTCCTTCATTTCCGCTCCCCCGACGGAAAATAGTAAAAGGGTGAACGGGAAACAAGTAGCAGTTACTATACATGGGCAACCATACGAGTTACACGTAGTGCAGTATGTATCGAATAAGATTCATCGATTGATTGTTGATATACTAACTGAATATCACGAGGTGATTAGTGTAACGGACACGGACATCGGACTGTCCTTGGTCGTCCAACATAAAATTCAGACTGGAACTCACCCGCCGATCCATTATAAACCATACCGATATTCGCTCACCGAACGAAAGATAGCGAGGCTAGTGGGTGGATCGAACCGTCAATTGAACCTTGGTCATTTCCCGTGGTTTTACGCGTCGATTCGCATCCGCATCGACTATCGAAAATTAAATGATATAACGATCAAGGATGTGTATCCCCTTCCCCGGATTGATGACGTGCTGGATGCGATTGGTTGTGCTAATTACTTCAGTAAGTTTAATATTCGTTGGGGATTTGACCATATTATGGTTAAGGAGGAAGATGGGCCAAAGATGACCTTCGTGTGATTTGAGGGTACCTGGCAGTGGCTTCGCTGACCGATGGGAATTTGCAATGCCCCATCCCAATATTCGCGACGATGTTAAATTCATCGTCCGAAACTGCTCCGTCTGCGCCGCTCACAAGGCACCGATTCAGCATCCTAGATCGATAGTCCCTACTGTGGTTGAACGACCGTTTCAGAGAGTCAGCATGGATACCACAGATATTCTCGTGCCCCCTGGACCTACGAAACACCCGTGGACGCGTCCGCGGGTCCCAGCTCGGAGGGCGGTCGCATACATCGTACATGGCCGCGGCCACGGTCGGCCTCGTCCGTTGCGCGGACGTGATTTTACCGATTTTTTCCTGAATTAAATAATAGGGAAAACAATATATATATATATGGGGTTGTTGGGAATTTTAAGCCCTACAACCCCATATTTGTTTTTTGTGAAACGATACTTTTATAGAATTAAAAAAATTGAAAAACCGAAACGGTGCACAATAAGAATTTAAAAAAAATAATAAAAGAAGACTTTTTTTTTTCATTTTTGGTTGACAGTTCTTTGTGTTCTTTAGTTTGTTGTGTTTTTGTTTGTTATGAAGATGTGTTGTGCATAAATAAAAAAACAAGGAATGAAAAAAAAAATAAAAAAAATATGGAGGCCCTGCTGATGGCATAGTTGGCACAGCACATAGGGGTTGGTGGCCCCATGGGAGCGGTAGGGGATCACCGCCAGCAGGCAGCAACAAAGTTTGTGTTGCTATTTCAGATAAAGATGGGTTTGGATCTGAAACAACAACACAAATGTTGTTGTTGCCGTCAACACTAAGATATATATATATATATATATAGGGTTACCTCACCGAACGTTCGGGGGCCCTCGGGCTGGCCCCCGAGCGTTCGGGCGTTCGGAGTCCCGTTCGGGGGCTGAACACCTCTAGGTTTGGCCCCTGCCAAAAAAAATTTCGGGGCTAAAAAAAAAGTTTTTTTTTCCGAATTGTTTTTTGTAAGTTCTTTATGATGTAAGCTACACGCCTATAAATTTTGAATTCATTCTGCTAATCCAAAAAAACATTAAAAATCGTCAAAGATGGGTGTGTCAAAACGTGCTCGCCCACTCACTATTTTGTTTTTTTTTCACTTTTAACTTCTTGTTTCACTTTATTTCGGGGCCTAAACAATTTTATTATTTTTTGAACATTTTTTAACGAGTTATTGATTATGTAAACTACATATCTGTGAATTTTCAGGGCATTTGTCAATGCCAAGAATAATTAAAAATCGGCAAAGATGGCGGTGTCGAAAAGGTGTTGGCACACTCACTCATTTTAATTCTCTTTTTATTTTTTCTTATTTTTATCATAGTGTTTATTTTCTGTATTTGATTTTTAATTCAAATTTGGTAAAGCATTTGGATGTAG